TTTTTTTTGATCAAGTGATAAATAATGTATGAAATTTAATTTAGCCACGTGTTACATGGGTCAAAAAATGGCACATGCATTGTTTTTGTGCTAACCTTTTTCTTTTCTCAGCTACAATGAAGAGGACACCCACTCCAAAATCGTCGGTGCCTATTTTAATTTTTCTTCATCTCATTTAATTCTACTCTTTTATTTTAGTTTTTCATTTATATTTTAATCCAAACGAAAATTAAATTTTTAAAACAAATGGTGATAATTATTATCAACATAAATTGACCCCTCCTTAAAATTGTACTAGCAACCAAGAGTATTAAATTGGGATGGCTAATCTTTTTTTTTTAAAAAAAAAAAATCTAATTTTTTAACAAGGATAAAAAAATCTGAGTTATATGTGAAAAAAAAAATGCACGTCGATAGATCAGTTTTGTTACGGAGTTATCGGATGACTCAGCTTATGAAACCATTCATAGTTATCCACAAATGGTGTATTGAAATTAATTTGATTGAAATTGAGCTGATCTCGCATTCGATTGATCAAGTCAGTTTTATTAGTATTTTATTTTTGAAGAAATAAATTATGCTTCAATTGTATAATGAGATACAATATTAATATATAAAAATTATATATATTATTTGTTTTTCCTAATATATACATTTATATAAAAATAACATTTTATTTTTTTTTTTTAAAAAAATTAATATTTGCCTCATGTTTGAATATTCCATATGTTTCGTCTTTCTAGCATGATGAATGTTCCCACCTTATACACGTGATAGAAAATTAAAAAAAAATAAATTAAAATGCGGTCCCATTTTATTGACTTATTTTAAGGTACGTACATAAGTTCCAATTATTTCATGCACTATTTGCACATTTTTTTTTCTTGACGTAATAATAATGAGAAATATTACGGTCTCGCTACAAAATTATTCTGTTGAGATTTGTAACTATTTGATCCCATGTTTTAAATACTGTGTACCGGCTAGTAATACCGATAATACCGGATACTGGCCATTGGTACGGTACAAATACACTAAAAATACCGGATTTACGGTTATACCGGGATTATACCGTAAAAACCTCAAAATACCGGTCTAAAATACCGGTTAATTAAAAAAAATAAAAAAATAAAATTTTTTAATTTAAAAAAATAAAATTTAAATTGGTAGTTAAAATATTTTATTTTTATCGCATTGAAAAGTTGAAATTAATGATTATGGTCATTTATTTTTTTACTTTAGTGCATTTGCGATTAAATTTTGTATGTATATTTATATTTATTATTATATTTGCTAATCCGGTAATACCATCGATATTACTGGTCCGACCGGTAATACCGCGTACCGGTAGCTAGACCGGTATGACCACCGGTACGGTATTTAAAACACTGGTTTGATCAACTATCCTCAACGATTACATAACGATCTAACGATTACAGACTCAACAAAATGTTTCGCAACAAAACCGTAACATCTTTCTATAATAACTCAAAATAAACTAAAAAATTAACACCAACGGCAAAAATAAATAACAATTCAGTATCATTTCAGATTAAAAAAAGAATAAAACAAAAAATTCGGTTATTAAAATAATAATATCAGATTTCTATAAATACATTCAGACATCATCAAGTTCCCAATTCATCATCCAAACAAGACTTCACTTTTCATTTCCCCTCTCTTCTGCTCGTCTTTCTCTCTCTAGAACCCATTATAATCCTCCTCCATTACAACCCTTTTCCCTCTTTTCTCGACTCCGGAGTGGGATTTACATATATTTTTATATATTTTTTAGTGGGTTTTACTTATTTACTCCACATTGAAAATCTTGATTTGAAAAAGTTGCTTGCTTTGTAGCCGATTTATATTTTTTTTTCTCCGATTTGATCGATCGATCGACGCATGAGCGGGTCGGTACAGCTGGGTTTTTCTCCTAATTCAAACCATTTTATTTTTATCCAGTTCTCGGGGACCTGTAATTTTTTATTGTTCCTCTTGTTATTGAGATTAAGGCCGATCAATTTGTAGATTGATAATAATTTGTCTAATCATGGATTCGAGGGAAAACAGGAGTAATCGCCAGTCGCAAACAGGTGAGCTTATTAGTTTTCAGCTCGATTCTGCTGGTTTGATGTAGTTTTGTTAAGCTAATGTGTTGAAGTGTTCAATTGTGCTTGTTTGGATTATGATATATGAGTAGAGGAATAGGAAATTAAAAGGCAAAATTGCTCGTTATATCACAACCTTTTACCAAATTGCTAAAACATCACGACTTTCACAACCTTTGATTTTTTTCAAAATGATAACACGAAAATAAAAAACCGGCCATCGTTACATTATTTAAAATCATTTCACGGAAGTTTGAAAGTATCATCACCTCCGAAATACTCCTTATTGTTCTCAATAGTTACAAATCTTCCCGGTTTCTGACTTTCGTGTATCGTTTTGCAAAGAAATCAAAGGTTGTGATATTCTTCGCCAAGGTCCAAAAGTCGTGATGTTTTAGCAATATGGTAAGAGGTCATGATATAACGAGCTATTTTGCCAAATTAAAAAAGTCATCTTTTTTTGTTGAGAGCAAAAAGAAGAGAACTTGTTGAAGTTGTGATTTAGGTGGAACTGTTAAATAGTGCGTACTTTGATATTACGTTGAGAAATATGAAATATAAACTTTTTCTTATTGGGTTGAGAGCAAAAAGAACAGAACTTGTTTCTAAAGTTTGTTGAACTTTATTAGTATCTTCTCTTCTATGTGTTTTTTGAAGTTTGTATGATGGTTCTTGATGGTGGCTTATTTGGAGAGCCTTAATAGCTGATCATGATGTTACAGAATAACCTTAAAGATCATTACTTTTACCAGATTGTTTTTTATGAGCTTTCATTGAGACCTTAGGGAGACCTCCCTATATTACTATGAATTTTCCAAAACTAAATCAGCAGTGCACGATCATGGTAAAAATTATACAATTAAATACCGTAGGGTTCCCCTATTTGATATAACACATACGTAAAATTTAAAGTTTCACTAGTTATTTCTGAGTAAGTTTTGTATTTTTCAGGTTCTTGCTATTCGAACTTGGGGAGAAGATCGGGAGCCTCGCCATCTGTCATCGTCATAGGTGCCGGATTTGCAGGCATTACAGCTGCACGCGCTCTTCACGATGCCTCATTCCAGGTATATACTTAGATGTAAATCTTCTAGTATGTTGTAATACATGATTTGGACATATTGTTCTTTAAGAAAAAAAGTTATTTTGCAGGTTACTGTATTGGAATCACGGGATAGAATCGGTGGCCGAGTGCATACTGATTACTCATTTGGTTTCCCTGTTGATTTGGGTGCTTCGTGGTATTTTTTGTGATAAATTAATTAACTAATTAATTTATTAATTATTATTATTATTATTATTATTATTATTATTATTATTAATGGAAATGTAAGCTTTACACTTTTCTGGTACAATTATTGCTAACTGCTGTTTCATATTTTTGGTCAGGTTACATGGTGTTTCGAAGGAGAACCCATTAGCTTCAGTTATTGGAAGACTGGGACTGCCGCTTTATCGAACTAGTGGGGATAATTCGGTTTTATATGATCATGATCTAGAAAGGTTTTTCTTGCTACCCATTTAAATTTCTAGAGGTTGTTATTTATAAGAGTGTTTTTTCATATGCTTGTTCTGCTTTATTGCTCTTCTAAAACTATTGACCTTTTGAAATGATTTGGATTTTGGGAATGGACGTGCTCACTTCATTCTTGTTGCAAAAAAATTCTGTTATCTGATTGAATAAAATAATTTGGGAAAAGATGATAAATAAATAAAACAATACTCATAGTTTATCTGTAGTATAATCTCTATGTATATTACGTTTGAATAGTAATCGTGTTATGAATGGTTCTGATTTACTTATACATAAATGAATTCAGATTTTTTTCCTTGCAAAAACTATATTTCATTTTTAATTGGTAAATATAAAATATTGTCAATTTTCAGTTATGCCCTTTTTGACATGGATGGAAAACAAGTTCCACAAGGTCTAGTTTCGAAGGTTGGGGAAACTTTCGAGACCATTTTGAAAGAGGTATGACCACTCTCCTCGATGGCTTTCGGCTCCATATTTAAGGAAAATGCAACAAACTTATTAGCTTTACTCACTGGTCACATGAATTGATCTTTTCTACTCCATAAGATATTTTTTTTTTTTTTTTTTTTTT